AACTCAAATCAATAAAATGAAGATAACCATAATAATTCCTTAATTTGCTAGGCACTTAAGGCAACTGAGGTTCTGCACATGGTCATTAAGACTTGTTACTATTTCCATTTACACATATATTTATAATACATCACATATATAACATGAGCCGATGGGCAAGAGCCATGTGGTTGGCTGCGTACCATTTATGCTGATTCATCCTCAATTTCAACTCTTATAAATTCTTCATTTATTGGTCAGCTCATCCACAACGTCTCTCTAAATTAATTAACTATTTGTCCAAAAAGGGCACACAAGATTTTTGGCATTAAATAACTTCCGTCTTCCATAAAACATAACATTAGAAAACATTAACAGATATAGATATGAACATGATGGCATGTTTGTGAAGAAGTCGTATATATGAACAAGTACGTTTGTGTACACATACATTATGATATAATTATTTATAGAGAGTCAAGAGCCAAATATGGAAACGGAATATAGTAATGCATGAATCATAACATGCTACTACAAAGATTAAAGTGTATTGATATGATTAATTAGGCTATTTAAAACATAATATATAAACCTCTTAATGATTGGATCATGTGCCGTGCTATATGGATTTAATTATGCCAATATCTTCCTTCGATTCTGGCTTGCATTAATTTAATTTCTTTTCCCACTTAACCAACATGGAAATAGCAGTTAAGTCAAACTTCTCATTATTACATGCACAATCTTCTCTCTCTCTCTCTCTCGCTCGCTCTCTCGCTCTCAAAAAGATTGCAAGTGTCGGGTTATTCGGCCAATATAGTTTGTCACATGAATAAAGTTGGAAGTTTATTAGTATTAAACTCGGCAGTAATTATGCATATATCACGGTGTGCTTAGTGATAATCAAGAGAGTAAAAGTAAAACAACAGGATTTGATCATATCATGTCAAAAGAAAACAAAACTTCTATAAGAGTGAGATGTTTGGAACTTTAGTTAGGCATGACTAACTTTATATATGCATTAATGTGTATATATATATATATATATATATTTATGGGAGTGAAATAATTCATTGTTAGACAATCAGCAGTTTGATGGTAACGAGGAAAGAAACCATAGCGTTCTTAATAAACAAAACAATGTTGAGAATTTGCGAGGAAAACGACAACGTTCTAGTGAAGTGAATCGTCTGAGTACGTTCTTTTGAGCCTATAAATAGGGTTCGATGCAAAGTAAAAGGTACGCTTTTTTTTTTCTAAAGTTAAACAATGTTTCTGTATTTCTAAAATGAATAATGCTACACAAACCAACTATATCACTCTAGTCTCAATTTTTTTATACTAATTATGTAATATGTGAGTTTTCATCATTTTATTAGAAGTTGTTTAAAATATTATCACATCAATTAATAATAAGTAATTATGAGCCAATTTAAGGTTGTATTTTTAAAATAATTGTTGTGCTTTTAATAGAAGCACTACTTTTACTAAACGTAAAAGCAGAAGTAGAATTATAATCTAAACGCTACATATAACAACTTCTCATAATAACTTAAAAAATACATTGATTTGTGTGCGAAATGTTTTTATACACTTTTACCAAACATTATAATTGTATCGTTTATTGTGTAAAATATTTTTGCGAGTTTCAAAAACAATCCCAAACACACTCTACATTTAATATAGACAAGTTGGTGTCTCTAATACTATTCTGCTTGAATTTCTCAAATATGTTACTTGATTTGAGAGTTTTCCTTGGGACCCACATTACTCCATAATCTCGGAATTTCAGATAAGATCAGAGATGAAGAGTCGAACGAGAAACGTCGGGATCTCATGCATATTTTCACCCAACAGCATGCACGTATATAATCCTCACACCAATTGATCAATACTCAATTGGGCTCAAAGAACAATCTACACCAGAGTGATAAGTACTTGAACATGTGGTTTTGGATCAGGGAGAAATTATGTTGGGCCTATCAATGCCAATCTTTCTAGAAATTTGGAGGGTCATGGGTTCTAAGTGTCACTGATGCTATTACAATTTTCTTGCCTCATACATGATGCAAAAAATAGTTTGTCGTTTGAATTGAGAAAATTGTTATTTATGGATTTGGAACTAGGGGTGAAAGTTGGCTGGGTAGAGTCAGTTTTTGGGCTTATTTTAGGCGGGCCCGCAATAATCGGCTTGAGAAAATACTGGGCCGCAACATGTTAATTAATCACAGAACCCGTATACCATTCGGTTACCTCGGGTCGGCCGGGTTACTTCGGGTAAACTAACTCTAAATTTGCTTATTTATGCTTTTCGACCGATAAACCAACTCTAAAATGGGTGATTCTTTGCTGAATTACTGCTTTTGCATGAGACCATAGGTAAACTAT